GTTGGCTGTTAGTTTGTTCTTCTCTAAGACTACAGATGGTTTGATGCAAATGAAGTGTTTAAAGCAAAGTTGAAATATTTTCACATGTTTAAATAAGTCAAACATGAAAATTGCTGAAACCAACCTGGTTTAAAATGATATTTTGTGGCAAACTGAACATCATGGCAGGAATTTCATCTGATGTCACTTCAGCTGGGTCTTCCAGCTGGGCATCAACAAAGTCAGAGCCACAGTCCCATAGAGTGACTAAACATCAGCCCTGCAACACACTCCCTATGAATAGTTGTATACAGTTTAGATAAATAAAGTTTACAGGTTCAGTGTTACATTTTCTTAAGTTATACATCTAATACATTTTCTATTGAGATGCAAGTGCATTTTTTGTTGTTGAATGTTGTAATACTATTGGCTTAATAATGTACTTATTGTACAGCTGAACATTACTAATGAGACCAACATCTAGACTGAGCAATTTTGGTCTTAATAGAGGGGTGACCCTAGTACTGAGGTTCAGGGTGTTGAGTCAGTCAAACCTCAAATATTGCATATTGTTTTATTGTGATCTTATTTGTATGAAAAGTCCTTTATCATTTTTATCAGTATTTATTTTTATATGAAGCAAAAGCAAAACCATAGAATTACTGGCATATTTTATTTGAAAAAGATATAAAGCATGAGAAATGCAATATTACATCACTAACTAGAAGTTTTAAACATTTAACAATGGCAAAATTAATGCATACATATACAGAATTGTTAAGAGTCTCTGGGTCATAAAAAAGTCTGATGGATGTCTCTGTAATGTTGAAGAAACAGCAACGGTCTCAAACTGAGATTCCATTTCATGGAGAGGAAGGAGCAGATCCTTCAGGTTGCGGTCAGTGCCAGAATGTTTGTATCTCACAGATCATGGACATGGCTTGGAACACACTGATTACTGTTGATTTTACTGGCTTTGACACTGGCTCCTCTGGTTCTGGGTCTAGGTTTTGTTCCTCAGCTACACACTCCTCCCAGCCCTCAGTGTAGTCCTCGCAGATCTGTGTGGTCGGTTAATTGGGGTTCAGTTGGCATTTCAAACTGTAAACATTGTCCGTTGTCCGCAACACTGGGGTGCCTTTGGGACCGGGGTTGTAATTGATAGGATTATATAGTATTTAATTCCAGTCTGGCCAAATCTAGTGTTAATTTTGGGATGTCCGCGGTACTGTGGTTGCCCAGTAGATGAGGTTCCACTGTATATTGTTTTATGCAGTGCAGTAAACAAGAAAGTAATGCAGGGAATCCTATAATCATGACTCTGACCTTATGCGCTGTAACTGTAATCTAATACTTATCCATTTATTATATTGTATGGTTAAATTTTATCATTTATATGTTTTCTTTATCATCTAATGTTTAGAAAATGCCGGAATTGCTTCTATGGAAAAATGGCATGCCCTGCTAGCAACACTGACGTGGCACGAAATTTGAAACATTGTGGCTGCTGATTTGCCCACTAACGGATTATCATTTTTCACTTTCAAAAAATAGTATACCTAGTCTTAACCCCCTACCCCCTGCGTATGGTTTGTACACTTGTGATAATGATGAAAATTATGGATGACCCCTAAATGTATTACAAGATTAATTCTATTTCTCCTGGTTACTCATACATTCTTTTTAAAAATCTTTTCAGGGAGTTAAGGAGTCTACATATCAATGGACTAGAAAATATTAGAGACATCCAGTTACTGTGCTTACTGCTTGAAGACATTTTACCAGAAATTAAGATAGTTGGAATTGATTATATGGACACATCAAGTTTACAAAAATCAACGGTTAATGAAGATCAGTTATTATAAACTTCTCTCTCTAAAGCTGTGGAATTTGTTGCAAGGCTCCAGATAGCCGACTTAGTGGCTCTCTGTTGAGGTTTTATTTTGAGTATTTCGAAAATCCTATTTTTGATTATTGGTGTGTAACAAGTACTACCAAACTCTTTTCCTCTAAAGCTATTTATGAATTTAATAGAAAGCAAGGAAATTGTCATCCTGCAATTATGTAAAGTAGAAAATTGGTTTTATATAAATGTAGGCCACCTATGTGGCGATTTTGCAAAATTTGTGAATATTGCTGCTTTATACTGTAAGATATAGGAGGAACAAGTACATTTAGGTTGTATTTTATATTGTATATAAAAGAATCTGCTGTAAATATTCCTACAAAGGGCTGTGTGTTGTAATCAAATCAACTAACTAAAATGTAATGAGAATCTCTTGAATACAAAAAGAATTAAGGAATGGAAAAAGTCATTAATATTACAGGCAGATATGTCCATATGGATAGTCTTAAAAAATATATTGATATTCTGCTATGGATTGAAGAGAAATGTTACAAAAACTTGATATTGATGCAGTGTGGAAAAGCACAAAAATATGAGAAATTTAATAAATGGCAATAGTGACTGTAAATATTGTATATTTTGTTTTTTTCACTTGGATTAAATAGGCCACTGACTTAAGTTTGATTGTATAGCCTATTATTGATAACTTCAGTGGGCACAGCTGTTGTTTTACCCATGAAGTGTAATCCACAACTCAGTCTAGAGGGTAGCTGAATGAGAGCCATATCTCAGGATGTGCTTAAAAAAAGGAAGGAAAAAAGACACACCAAAAGAAAAGTCACGGTATTATCCTCAAATTAGTGGACCTATACAGGTACACAATGCATATTTTTCTTTTCCCAAAATACATCCTCTATGTGCCTAACCTGGTCATGACCTTCAGATTGTTCTGCAGTCATGCACATGTGCCAATTGTGGTGGCTTCCTTAATGCACTTTATAGAATTGCATTGCCTACAATTTTTCCTCTAGATACTCATGTGACTGTCTCTCCCTCTATTCCTTTCCCTTCTTACTGTATCTCCCAGTAACTCTTCTACCCCTAACCATCCCATCTCTGCTCCCTCTTTCTTTCAGTCAATTTCTTTTGCTATTGTAAATTCAGATACTCCAGTCTCTACCACTTCCCTGGTGCTTACCTCTTTCTCACTTAATTTGTTACAACAGGTAATCTCAACATTCTTTTCATATCACTTTGTCTCTTACAACTACCTCCTCTTCTGCTCTATGGATATCTGCCTCTTCATTTCTCAGACTCTTCCAACCAACTCCCATCCAGACACTCTTAGAGGACATCCTAAACTTCCTAAACATGACCCTAGAGAATGCTCCACTCCCTCATCCACACTGCAATTCTTTACTCCTATTCCCTTTACATTCAAAGTGCCAAAATCCATCCTCATCCTCATGTTCCGCTTATCCTTCTCACCCATTTTCTCCCAATACACCCCTTCCCCTCCTCCATGTACATCTCTCATTCCTTCCCCATTACCCATTTTACTCCCTTTTCTGTTCACAGGACTCCCCCCACCCCACCCATACCCTTTGTTGCTGTGGGGTGGGTGGGCTCAAGAGATGGAGACTGGGACCCAATGCTTGGGATCACCCCTGGCATGGATCTCAGACCTCGACTTCACTAATTTTGCATGGTCTTTTCTTCTTCCCCTTTCCATTTATTTCTCTTCTCCTACCCGTTCTATTATCCACTTCCTAAGGTGTGAGAGCCGTGTTGAAAGGATGAAAGGCTGACTTTGTGCCAGTTATGAACGGTCTGGGGGAGCCATTGGCATGGTATTCCCATTTAATTGTCTAACCCTTACCTTTCAAAGAATCCTAAGGGGTGGACTTTTTCTCTCCCCAACATACTCCAGGCTTATCATGGCTAGTAATGAAAATTTATAACCTTATTAGGGGCACTGTGGCCTGTCCCTTTACCAGCGAGCCCCACAGATTTAAATTCCCCAATGCTTTAACCCCAGACTCTCCTTTGACCACGACCCAGAACACTACTACAACTACTGTCTCCTCCTCAATATCTATTACCACTCAACCTCTAGTAAATATTTTTCCTCTCCCACCATCCTCTACTTCATCTCTTTCACCCCTAAAACTTTCATCATCTAACCGCACACCTTCCTTGTTACTACTCTACAGCCTAATATTATTCACCTCTTAAGGGGGGTACACAATTGTTTCATTTCCACGTACTGTATCATCGTTGCGTGTCATCAAGAGATAAGTTACGGTGTAACAGGGTATTGTACCCACTTGTCGCATATCATCGTTCTGTGGTCCAACAGTGTCATTCAGTTTCTTTGTGATCGTAGCCAAGAGTGCAAATGTGCAGTTGGTTGCGGCCGCGTGTATTTTTATTCATGAAAATCAAGTCAGTAAAATGAAAAATTCTAAAAAAAAAGTCCACGACAACACTGAATGTATAATGGGACTATGCCACGCTACCCGACCACACAAGGGTTAATGAGTTGTGTATCATTCCTTTGATCTGACAGCAAAAGACCGACAAATGGCGGATCAAGCCTGTTGTGTATTTTTGCATCATATTTTGACACGCAACGGTGCAATGCTATCCCGTCCACATTGCTACGCAACGATGATACGATACGTGGAAATGCAACAAGTGTGTACGCGTCTTTAGGAGTACTCCCTCTTTCATGCATCACAACCTTTTTACATCCCCCACCTCTACATACAAACCTTTAGAGTACTTTGTTTAGCCTAGCCAAATGGGATCAGTTTTTCTTGATCCCCTTACTCTGACAACTCTCTCCTCTTCTAAAAACAAGTAAGCAAAGTACCCTTCTGTAGCTGATGGTATACCATTCCCCCTAGAGGGCACTGTAAGTTCTCCACCAATATTGCCAAGATTACTCTATAGACATGGCCAACCTCTTTATGTTATATTGGTTGAGAGTCAATCTATCCCCATCAATTTCAAGATTGTTGGCATCTAGGCCACCCTGCCATACATCACCACACCACATGATACCCTCTGTGCCCAACGCGGTCATGATTGATCAAACTGCTCTGCACAATTACGCACATGTGCCAAGTGTATTTTATAAGGGTTGCCCTACCTACCAGTTTGTGTCTGGGCTGGCAATTCTCAGATTCAGTCTTTGCCTCACTTTATGCAAGGCCAGACAGGAAGCATTTAGACAAGTTTTTTCTCTTACTCCATACTCCAATACTGTCCTTTGCTCTGTCCCTCTCCCTCCCTTCCAAGGTGTTTCCACATTCTCCAGCATCTTTTACTCATCCCATTTCTACCCCGCTTTCTCCCTCTCCCAGTTAAATTCTATTGCCATTCTAAAACTAGACACCCCAAACTCTTATTATTTCAGATACTCCAATCTCTACTTCCTTGGTACCTATCCCTCTTCCTCCTCACTCAACTCATAATACAAGACAAGCTAAATGTTCTACCCCATCATCTATTACCGCTTCCTTACCTAATTCAACCCTCCCTCTCCTCCGCAAATGCCTGTCCCCTCTTCTCACCCTCATAAGAAAACTTTACTTCTCAGAAGACATTCAAAACTATCTAATCAAGACCCAGAATAACATGTATCCATTATTAAATCTCTCTGCCCTCATTGCCTTCACACTCAAAGTAACTGCTGACATCTATCATCCAATCCATATTCCTCCCACTCCTTCCCAACATCCTATCCCCCCTACATCACCCATCTTCCTTCCCCATTATCACTTAAACTTAACCATGGATATAAATGACTGACAACCCTCTTCCTTGAACTCTCTTCCTCCTGACTTTTCTCTCCTTAAACTCATCTGATCCCCCTTAAACTTCCTTTTCTCCTTTTGCTAATTCCTATCTTACACTAGGGACTTCTTTATTTGACAATTTACTTATCCTCTCTACCCCCACCCCTCCTTATCCCTTCCAACACCATACTATCCTGAACTGCTATACATTACATGTAGCACATATAATCAGTTAACCTCATTCTAACCTTTCACTACTCCACCTTTCCATAGTGCTGTATGACCTTTAATGTCTAGCACATTTATTTAGGTTTGTAACCTTTAACCACAAGACCCCTTTGTCCTAATGAGCACTTGCTTCATGTCACCACAAAACCGATGGGCAAACCAAGGGACCATGTATACACAAGGGTGAAACGAATACTTTTCCAGGTAAATGGGCAAAGTCTGTCTGGCACCATTCGATCCTGTGGACAGGGAATACATACATCAACATTTGATGTATTGATCAAACTGCTACGCATTTTGTTACCAACTCTATGTACAAATTCCTATCAAATAATGTTATGGAAGGAAAACTGTTGCTGACAAAGATTGCCCGTTTTAAGGAATTGTAGTTTTATTCCTCACTTGTGTTCTGAAGTGTGCAGTGTTTCCCTAAAACATAAAAATGACCCATCACAACATAATCACCCCACAGATAGTGTCAGAACTCCAGTGAAAATGGTCAATAGTTATAACAAAATAAATGTGCTAGAATGTCATATAGCACCATAGAAAGGTGCTATAGTTAAAGTGGTAAAGAGAGGGGTTGATTAAATGTGCTACATGTCAAAAGTCGTATAGCAATTCAGGAAGGTAGGAAATAACAAGGGTAATAAGATCAATGCTGTCAAAGGAAGAAGTGTGGGATTCTGCAAGGGTATTTGTTGGGCAAGGTAGGGATTAGCAAAAGGGAAAATGAGTTCAAGGATGATTAGATCAGTTTCAGGGAAAAAATACAGTAGGGAGAGAATCCAGGTAAGTGGGTTGTTGTAATATAGGGTCACATGTGGGTGTATCCAGGGGAAATTGGAAGGAATAATAAGGAGAGGGGGAGTGATATAATTGAAGCAGGGGGGGGATGGGATGTGTTTGGAGGGAGTGGGAAAAAGGGGTGCAGGGGGAACACAAGTGGGTTAATGGTTAATGCGAAATAAATGTGCTAGACATCTAAGGTCATATGGCACTATAGGAAGGTATAGTAAAGGGTGATGACAGGTGATAGTTGCTATGCGTCAACTATGTAATGTTGAAAGGTTAAAGATGGGTAAGGGAGTTGATGAGGGAATGGGTTATGCTGGTTTAGGTAAGGGATTATATCAAGTGAAGGCTATATATGCATCTGAGGAAGGAGAACAGGTTGTCAAGGCAGAAACTGAGATTCTGTAACAATGACTGATATGTTGGGAGGTCGGTGAAGCGAGGATAGGTTGGGGAAAGCAGAGGTACGGTAGTAAAGTGTGGGCAGGACAACAATATGTGGAACTGAAAGAGGGATATTACATAGGGGTCATTGAAGTGGGTCAGAGTGTGACATTAGATAGGCGTGTGTGGCCAATACGTAAGCGTGCGAGGGCTTACGTATTGGCTCTGGTGAAATGGAGCTGACCAAAAGAACACTGAGTGGGATAATGAATGGATGTCGATAGTTACTTTAACTGTAGAAAGAATGGGAACTGGAGGATGGATGAGGTTTAGGCATGTTATCTTTGGCAATGGTGAAGATATTTTATTTATTGAGCACATTCAAAATATAACAATAGGGAGAGGTTTATGGGCAAAGCCCTCATGCAAGGAAGTTTTTGGTTCATAGAGCAATGTTAGTGGTTT